TTCTAGGATCTGTCCACACATGAGTGACAAATCACAGTTTTACACAACCTCTAAACCTCAACAAGAAATGAGACGGTTCACTCTTCCTCCATCATTGTGACATCCCGAAACACTGCAGTGCAAAGCCGGCTGAATGTGGCTCTCAGTTATGAGCATGAAACTGGATATACGGCTTTACCTTCAGCAGATGTGTGGGGTGTAACACCTCTTTCTAATAATATTCTGATTTACAAATAAAAATATGGACAGTTGTAGAATGTTGTATGTTTTAACTCGCAGTAAGGCATGTGAATTCGTTGAATCCTACCTTGTTTTCTGATCATACAGTGTCATTAGGTGTCATTTCAGCAGTGGCTTGTGTCACTCCTTCAACACTCCTAGGTTGAAATTACAAACATTTTCAATTGTCTTTTAAAAAGGAACCTGAATTAATAACCTAAGTGCAATGTAGTGTTGTCAAAAATATAAATTTTACGATATATATATCGATACTGTAATATCTGAAACGCTTCCAATACTCATTTCCCACAGAATAGATACACGATACCAGCTGCACTTTCTCTCTCCCTCATCTCTCCGAGTGACACAAATCCGAATCAAAAACCCGCCTCCCCTCACTCACTCGTTTAATTTGCTCCAGAATATTGTTGCTGTAACAGGGCTTGAATTTCAGCATGGGTTTTGATCATATTGCACATAATTTTACTCATTCCCGCAGATTTTGTGCTCACAGACACCCAAAAGTGCGCGCACATAAAGCCGCCTCTCAGGGCTAAATTGAGTTCGTTTTTGCGCTCAAATAGTCAAAAACACACAAAATAATGTCAAAATGATGTCAAAATTACGTATTCACGTAAACACGGTCAGTTATGTTTTAAGTGAACGTGAACAGTTGAGAAAGAAAACGCATGTGTAACGGTACAAGGGATCCGTGCATTCGATCTTAAAGTGACAGCAGCCTAATAAACCTGCTGCCAAATTATGATTTAATATGTTCATATGATATAAGTTCATGTCAAGGTCTGAGTGCAGTGGAGCAATGACCTCTGACCTTGCACTGGCCCATTCCTTGGTCTCTTCCTGTCACAGACTGTAACAATAGTAAATAACTGTACAAGCCTTTGATCCATAAGGCCTAAATGTATTTCACAAAGGGACTGTGAGAGAGACATTGCCAAATCACATACTAATGAGGGCTAAGCAATGAAACTGGTAGGTTGCAACCCAAAAAATGCATGACTGCATGTGAAGAAACAGTGGAAAACAATGCTAAATGCAAATCCATAACCATTTACAGCTAGAGTAGTCAAATAAAATAGGCTCAGCATGCTAAATAGGTCTGTCTCTTTGGTAATTCATTGTGTGATAGGCCCTCATGAGAATCTACAGATTTGAATAAGTATTTGCCCTGATATTTTTGCAAGGCCTGAATCTTTAAAGGGGTGATGAACTGATAAATCAGCTTTTGACATCTAAGAGGTCATCATATTATAAGAATATCCTGTAAGTTTCAGAACTGAAAACGTCCTTGTTAGTCCAATAAAAGCTTTATTGACACCAGCCTCAGCAAACGACTCGTTTTTCAAAGTGGGGAACTATGACGTCAAAGAGGACAAAACACCACTTCACCTACGCCTACTTCAACACGGCCGGTTTAGCCCCGCCCACCGATTCACGCATTACACGCATAGCTAAATAACATAGATTCCTACCTCGTGATGACAAACTGGGTCAAGCTACTGAGCAATACAGAATATTGTGCAGTGCCTGGTTGTGGAAGAAGACAGTCGCTGCATAAGCTTCCAATAGGACTGCATGGATAAACTTTATTTTTAATGACGTTCCAGCAGATAAAACATCGTCCGTCTCTTCGCTTCATTTCACTGAGGATTGTTTTGTAAACAAGACTGGATTTGCAGACCGATTAAGAGTAAAGAACGGTGCTGTGCCGTCTATATTGGATCTGACAGGAATTGTGCAACACACAGACTCTGGGTCGAACATGTATGGGCGAATCATTCCGGTCGCCGTTTTACAACATTGGACGTTTTAAAAACAATTTCCACCAAGTGCATCGACAGGTGAGTCGAAACTCATTATAATATGCAAAACTGTTATCCACTCACAGCAGTGGGCGTTTACTTCCAAGTCTTCAGTGTGGACGCCCATAAAAACCGAGCGTTTTATAGCTAGGCTCAAAACTAGGGTACAAAATAGGCAATTACTTATTCATTTTAATGTTTTGAATGCAAAAACCAAGCGAACGTCATAAGTTGACCTCAGACAACAATATAATAGAATTTAAAAAGCCAGTTCATGACCCCTTTAAGTACAGTTTTCGAAAGCAATTTTTACTTTACCATTCTGCATCATTTATATCAACTTCCCTAGACCCTGTGAACCATTAATCACTTGTTGCAATGCTAAATACACTCTATGTAGACACATAGCGAGGGGAAACCGCAGAACAGAGGTTTTGTCTCCATACCGGCCTGCTGGCTTTGAAGAGGGGGATTAGGATTAACATTGAATTCACTTTATTTTTAACAAAGACTTGACCTAGAACTCTTGTAGGAGACATAGCCACTTGTCAAAACTGTAAGAATGGCTAATGCTGCTGCAATAACTTGCTAATTTCCTGGCAAAACAGGGTCTTAATTACCGAAAATAAAAATGAGTGTACAATGTGATAGTGATGAAACTGTTCTCGTAACATTCAGGTACCCAGGCAGA